GGACTGACCTGGCCCCACTGCTGGAACCCAGGCAAGCCCGGGTGCCCCAAAGGGCAAGGCGCCCCTGGATAAGGGGCTCCCACCCTGATACCCGCCTGTGGCTACCTGGGCTTCTCCAGCCACTCGCGGGTGACTGCGTAGAGGGTGCCCCCCACCCACTCCCTCTGGGGCCTCAGACAGGAACACCTGCTGGGGCAAGCTCCTCCTGCATGGGGCTGAGGATGGCCCCCACTCCCTAGGGCAGCCCAGGCTCTGGCAAGAGCTCACCGCTGGTGCCCCAGGGCCCCCGGTGCCTGGGAGACCCTTCCCGGGGCGCTGGGCAGCTGCACCACCCTGCAGGGCCAGTTCGGTTTGGGTGGAGTCGGGGGAGTCCTTCCGCTCAAGCTTTCTGTCCACTGGGGTTTGGCCACCAGGTCTGATGATCAGCTTTGGCAGTCAGTCCACAGTTGAGCGCTCTGTCCCTCCCCCAGGCCACTCACGGGCTTTCCCCACCCCCACCCCCACCCCCACCCCCACCCCCAGAGGAGCAAGGACAGAGCTGGTGGGCTGGGGGAGGCAGCAGCAGGATGCAGCAATGTCTGGATCAGCCCAGAGGGGCTGGGAGGTGCGGGTCTGCATCAGCTGCACCCACAGATGCAAAATCCCATGGCCTCCCCAGAGGACCCGAGCTGCCCATTGCCCCCAGCACCGCTGCTTCCACACACCTGAGAGTCAGGGGGCCTTACCCTCGGGACCAAGGGTGTTCTGGACACGGGACGTCCTTGGCTCGGGGACCCCCATCCTAGGACCCTGGTCCAGTGCTTGCTCCCAGCAGGAGACCAGAAACCAGCACAGCCTGAGGACATGCCCTGGCCCCTCAGAGCCACACAGCTGGGCGGGCGTGGGGTTGTGGGGGGAGGTGGGCCCAGTCTCAGGGGCAGGCTAGGGACTCCAGCAGGGGCCCCTCAACCCCAGGGAACGTCACAGCACCGTCACACACAAGTGTACTTTATTGAATTCAGCTGTAGACAGGCAAGTGTGTTAATGTAAAGGGCTGGACGCTAAGGGACAGGGCCAGCAGCGCACGGTGGAGGACTTGGGTCTCCTGCCATGAGCACCTAGTGGTACCCATTGTTCTCCTGCATAGACTTTAAAAGTACACTGTAGGCTGTAGCGTAGACAAACACCAGAAGAACAATGGATCCAGTGGTCAGAAGGAGGCCCAAGACCAGGGCCCAGATGTTCAGGCACTTGGCGGTGGAGGCATAAGTCTGGGCCCCAGTCATGTCACCCACCATCTTCCGGTCCCTAGACTGGGGAGAAGAGATGGAGTGTGCGATCAGGCCCAGGTCCTGGTGAGAGCCAGGGACTCAGGTGGCCCCCTGGCTGGTCCCTGCCCAGGGCAGTCTCCACCTGCCTTTCACCCTCCCCATTCCCTGGAGCCTGAGCAGGACCGTGCCCCGTGGACCCTTCCCTCCCGGGGCCTGCATCTCCTTCCTCAGCCTCTCAGGAGACCCCAGGCCTTGTCCTCCCTCTGCTTTGGCCCCTTCCCTGGCCTCACACCCCATCAGGGATGAGCAGCCTTTGAGTACCTTTTGATTCTTTTGGACCAGACTTGAGGTCTGAATCCAAAGTGTGTGGAGGATATAATTTCCCTAATTAGGCTGGGAAGGAGAACTTCTTGGAGATGGTGGAGACATAGGCTGACCCTGCCATTCCCATGCACTCCCATGCAGCCTCACCCTGTGCTCTCCCTGGGAATGGTCACACACACACACACACACACACACACACACACCACGTGCCCTGTGGGCTGGCGGACCTCCGTGGGCTCACTGCACCTTCTGGGAGAGTCCCTCCCCACACCCCCTCACCTTCACGGAGTAGGCGAAGGCCACGAAGCCCAGGCAGCACCAGTTCATGAACATGGTGTTGAACAGGGACCAGACGACGTGGTCGGGCACGGCTGTCTCACTACGGATGTTGATCACAGTGGTCGTCACGGGAGCTGAGTCTTGGGGGGCCCCCATTACAGGACCCCTGTGCTCCTGCTGGACCATGTTTAAGTTTAGGGGATGTGTTTGTTTGTGCTCACCAGGGAAGAAGGGCCAGGAAGCGCAATTAGGTTGCCAGAGTTTTGACCATTTGCAGGGTGAGGCCCGGATGTAGGAGGTGGCCCCACGTAGAGCTCAGCCCCAAATCAGGGTCCCCTCTCCCCATGTCAGCTTCCTTCTGCTTTCTCCGAAGCTTCTCTTTCCTGGTGTTTTGTAACTGGGTGACTTGGCTGGCTCCAAGAGGTGGACCAACACCTGAGTGTCAGGTTCTGGGTGTTTTGTGCTCACAGGTCAGGATCCAGCAGTCTGTGTTGCCTGTCCCGGAAGGAGCCTCCAGCATCTCTCAAGGGTCCCCGGGAGTGAGAACGGGGTTGGCGGGGGGGTTCCGTGACGGGAGGAGCCGGCTGTGGTGGGAGGCAAGAGGCTCCAGGCCATGGGGCAGCAGGTGGGAGCGCAGGGCCGGCGTATTTGTGCACCCACACCTTTCCTCCCTCCCTCCTGCCTCCGATCAGGTCACCTATAGCCAACCATCTTTTAGGTGTGTCAAGAGAAAGCACGTAGGGAGGAAGTTGGCTCTCGGAAGGGGCTTGCCCCACCCTAGGTCCTTCCGGAACTTACAATCTTTCCTTTTCCGCCCCAATCCACCCCCACGGAAAGATGGTGTCATCAGAGCAAGACAAATGTTTCACCTGAGGTAAAGCGGCCCTGTGTTGGAGCTGCCGTGACGGTTGTGCCCGCCCCTTCACACGCCAGAAAGAATGCCGATGGAGGCCTGGCTCCTTCTCCAACCCTTGTGCCATGTCCAATCCCTCCAGTCCCTCCTGCTGTGCTCCTGTGGCCCCAGGTCAGGGTCTGTCCCCCATCTGCCCTGGAGTTTCCAAGGCCCCCAGTGCCTCCTCCCTGTCCTGGTGTGCGTCCATATACCTGGTGACCCTGTTCTCCTCACTGCCCCATCCAGTGGTCCTCCTGGTTGGCCCCCACTCCTTCGAGGGCTCCAGGCTGGCTGTGTCCATGGCCTGACTGTGGCCATGAGTGAGTTCCAATGGAAAAGTGCAGTAAGTATAAAACACCCATCATTTTAAAGGGTTGATGAGAAAAAATTTTTGATAAGATATATTTCATTGATAATATTTTTTACTGATTATATGTTGAGATATTTTGGGGATTTATTGGCTCAAATAAAATAGATCATTAAAATCTTACTCATTTCCATTTGCTTTTTTAAATGTGGTTACAAAATATTTAAAATTGGGTTTGTGGGAAATAAATTCAAAATGGATGAAAGATCTAAATGTGAGATAGGAACTATCAAAATCCTAGAGGAGAACATAGGCAGCAGCCTCTGTGACCTCAGCCACAGCAACTTCTTACTAGACATGTCACTGGAGGCAAAAATGAACTATTGATAAAAAGCTCAGCCATCAAAAAGAATGAAATCTCGCCATTTGCAACTACATGAATGGAGTATAATTCTAAGAAAAATAAGTCAGTCAGACAAAGATAAATAACATGATTTCACTCAGATGTGGAATTTAAGAAACAAAACAAATGAGCAAAGGGAAAAAAAATAGAGAGAGAGACAAACCAAGAAACAGACTCTTACTTGACTCTAGAGAACACACTGATGGTCACCAGAGGGGAGGTGGGCAGGGGGATGGGGGAAACAGGTGAAGGGAATCAGGGAGGGCACTTGTCGTGATGAGCACTGGGTGATGTATGGGAGTGTTGAATCGTACACCTGAAACTAACACTACACTGTATGTTAACTAATTGGAATTTAAATAAAAACTGAAAAATAAAATAATAAAATAAAATTGGGTTTGTGCCCTACACTCTACTGAAGTCACAGCCTGGATGATCTGTAGGCAGCAGCAGATGTGGTCCCATCCATGTGCAGCATCAGAAACCTGGCAAGGTGGCATCAAGCCAGGTATCAAGAGGGTGGTGTCTTGGGGAGACCCACCCTTCCCGTCCCCATACGTCTTGGCCCGTTCACAAACGGGTCAGGTTCTCCCTCTGAGTCTGCCTGCTGGCCCTGCTTGGTCTCAGCCTGTGGGCAGCAGGGGCCACACAGTTGCCCCATCTGCCCTCCAGCCCCGGCAGCTCTTTGTCAGATTGCCTTGGAAGGCTGCTTATAACAAGACATGCTCTTTCTGTTTAAGGTCTTAGGAGTTTTGCAAGACTTTTTCTTTTTTTATATATTTTACTTATTTATTTGACGGAGAGAGATAGCAAGAGAGGGAACAAAGTACAGGGAGCTGGAGAGGGAGAAGCAGGCTCCCCCCAGGACACTGGGATCACGACCTGAGCCGAAGGCAGTCGCTTAACCAACTGAACCACCCAGGTGCCTCCAGGGTTCCCCTTTCTCCACAGCCTCGCCAACATCTGTGTTTCCTGACTTGTTAATTTTAGCCATTCTGACAGGTGGGCGATGGTATCTCATCGTGATTTGTATTTCCTATTCTGAGGGATGTGGAGCATTATTTCATGTGTCTGTTGGCCATTTGTATGTCAAGAAGTGCCTTCTGAAGCTGCAATTGGACAGTACACTGCAGGAACAGCTGGAGAGCCAGAGCTTAGAGACGAGGCCCGGATGACCACAGAAAACTGGGACAGACGTGAGTGAAGACCTGGAGCCCAGGGCAGAGGGTGGAAAGTGTTCTTCATGAGTTGCAGGGGGAGGCTCCGCTCTCTTGCACAACTACCCGCCCAGCACTGGAGCCTGGGGGTGCTGGAGTACCATCCTCTAAAAGCACCCCTCTTTCCTCCATAAACCTGCCAGCTCCCTGGAACTCCATGGACTTGACTCTTCGGTAGTCATCCGTGTTGCTGGCCAAGACGCGGGCTTTCTCGGCAGCACACAGTGTTAGTGTGCACCTCCCTGAAGCTAGTCCTGACCTGGATTCACTGCTGCTCGACAGGGTTACAAGTGAAGGGCGTCTCTTCCAGGCAACGGAGATCTTGTGATTCACCACATTCCCTGGGATGCGCACGGAAGCACGTGTTGGGGAGCCCCACCCTAGGTCCCTGAGGGTAGCACTTGGACCGCACTGCCAGTGCAGACCCACATTTGAGTGGTTGCATGAGCAAGAAACAAGGCTTTCTTTGAAGTCCCTGAGATTTGGAGTTGTTTGTTACCACAGCTCAGTCTCACTCACCCTGAATGATACAGGGAAGGACTGCCATCATTTAAGACTTTGAAAGTGTGGGGCGCCTGGGTGGCTCAGTTGGTTAAGTGACTGCCTTCGGCTCAGGTCATGATCCTGGAGTCCTGGGATCGAGTCCCGCATCGGGCTCCCTGCTCAGCAGGGAGTCTGCTTCTCCCTCTGACCCAACCCCCTCTCATGCTTGCTCTCTCTCTCTCTCTCTCTCTCTCTCATTCTCTCTCTCAAATAAATAAATAAAATCTTTAAAAAAAAAAAAAAGACTTTGAAAGTGTGGCATTGGCCTCCAGCTAGGTTGCAGGCAACAAACTATTCTTGGGGGCTAGAAAGAGTGACCCATGTAAAGTAGTGTGATGGTAAATTCTCTATGCCCCTTGACTGGGCCACAGGGCCCAGATGTCAAACATTGTCCTGGATGTGTCCTGAGGGTGTTTCTGGGTGCAATTAACATGTCAATTGGTGGAATGAGTGAAGCAGGGTGGCCTCCCCAGTGTCAGGGGGCCTCATCCAATCTGTTGGAGGTCTGAATAGAACACAAAGGTGGAGAAAGGGAGAATTCACTCTGCCCACCTGTCTTTGAGCTGCGATGTTGGTCTTCTCCTGCCTTGGGACTCAGACTCAGGCCGGAGGACACCCCTGAGCCTCCACAACCATGTGAGCCAACTCCTTGTACTCTGTTTCTTTCTGTGTGTATGTCCATTGATTCTGTTTCTCTGGGGAATCCAGACTAGTACAAGCAGTGAGGAAACCCGTGGTGAAACACCCACCCTGTGATATCTGGAGGAAGGACTGCAATATAATGATTTATAAGAAACAGGTATTTGGTCATCAGATGACCAATTATGTTTCTCAGACATATCTGGTCTTCATCCACAGCTCCTGAGAACTCTTAAAGGTGACCCAGGGTCTCATTATAGTGAAGGTGACTCCTGGACCCACCCAAGGGTGTCCAGGAGGACCAACTGTGGGATTGGAGGGTTGGAACTTCCAACCATCCCCAGAGGTTGTATCAGCCAATGGCCAATGACTTAGTCAATTACAACTATATAATGAAGCCTCCATAAAAACCCAAGAGGACAAGTTTTCTGGTCCTTTTTCTTTCCAGAGATCTTCCATGTTCGAGGGACCAGAACACTCCCATGTGTGACCAAGCTCCATGAGTGCAGAGACTCTTTTGTGTGAGATCTTGCCCTACATATCTCTTCATCTGGCTGTTGATTCATGTCCTTTGTTACATCATTTAACACACTGGTAACCCTAAGGAAGTATTTCCCTGAGTTCTGTAAGTTGCTCTAGTAAATTAGAAGAACCTGAGGAGAGGGTTGGAGCCTCCAATTTGTAGTGGTCCATTAGAATCCCTGGTGACAACCAGGCTTGTGATGGCATCTGAGGTGGGGGTGGGGACTGTCTTACAGGACTGAGCCCTCCACCTGTGGGATCTGACACTATCTCTGGGTAGATGGTGTTGGAACCCAGCTGGTATCCAAGAATTGCTGGGTGCTGTGGGCGGGGCTACACATTGGGATTGGGTCCAGGAACCCTAAAAGACAGACCAAGAACCTAATAAATGTGTAGCCCTAGGATAAGACATGGGCAAACATTTGTTGTGTGTCATGAACCTGAACCTGTCAAGCCTGGCACCTGCATTTCAGTCGGGGTTCAGGGGCTGAGGGTGAGAAAGCGAAAGAGACAGAGCATAACTGAGCACCATGGAAAAAGGGAGCGAAAGGTGGGACTATTGGCACATGGATCTGACTAAAATTAAATCAAATGTGGTTGGGTTTTTTTTAAAAGATTTTATTTATTTATTTGACAGAGAGAGACACAGCGAGAGAGGGAACA